ATGCTAAGAAGACAGAACATGTCTCTTTGCTTTTATGAACTGATTCATCCTTCATTTAAACTTCAGTTTAAAGGTAATGCCAAACTTTGGTGTTAAGACAGGCCTATAAAATTTAAATCTTATTTTTATTCTTTAATGAAAATTATTACACGTTTCCGGGGAGATGTCATCATCTTGACTGCTTTGGGATTGTCAGCACAGCTCCTTCAAGGTGGTCCCATATAGAAAATATTTTTATGTTACCATCATAAAAGATGAGGGATCAATATAAACCATTAATCAGTTCTACCTTGGGTCTTCAGGATTTAACTTCAGGAACAAGGGCCGTGTCCAGAGGGGTGGCAAGGCCCCCCTAGAAATCTGATTGGCCACCAAGGTGCAACCCCAAAAATCCTAAACTGTGATTGGTTACTTGCCCTGTTAGAGGCGGGACTTGTGTTAAAACCAATCATTAGGTCTTTTTTTGGGGAGGAAAGACTGCTTGTTTTATGTCGGGACCAAAACATTGCGAGTTAGACTGTGCAGGAGTTTTAATCCAGATTTTTAAGTACTCTAAATTCTGGCCACCCTGCATAAGTCGGGGCCCCAGTTGGGTCACCCAGTCAAAAAAGGAAAAGAAGGAGATTAAGAGAAAATGGAGAATTACAAACGTTTGTCAATAAATAACACAAGCTTTGACTTTGTTTTGAGTCGGAACTCGCCTTCACACTTTTAATTGATCTGATTAGAAACAGGATGAAATTACAGATGAATTAAATCAACTTTATCAGTCAGAAGTAACAAAGATTGGTCTTTACTCTTTCTGAAACATCAGAATAAGTTTGCGTTCCCGCATTTCATAACCCATATAACAGTTTGGGAGTTTTAAGGAAGAATGATCAACATGTTCCACATAAATAAATCATAAAGTCTGTCCTGTGTAAATGTGTCTCTGAGTCCTGACTGTCTACAATGAGGGAGAAGCTCGAGTCCCGCTGGCTGTGTTGTTGTCAGAGCCGTGTTTACATGGACGGGACGGCCGGCTCCTCCCCTTGTGTATAAAAGCTGTTTTAGTCAAGAACTAGAGAGAAGAAGAAGAACATACTCACTGATTATTTGGATGTTAGTAAGAGTTTTTAGATCACGCTCATTCTGTGTCAGTTTACATGAAATGTGAAGCTACGAGCTAACTAAAGAGCGCTAACATTAGCATGCTAACACAACAATGTGAAGCTACGAGCTAACTAAAGAGCGCTAACATTAGCATGCTAACACAACAATGTGAAGCTACGAGCTGACTAAAGAGCGCTAACATTAGCATGCTAACACAACAATGTGAAGCTACGAGCTGACTAAAGAGCGCTAACATTAGCATGCTAACACAACAATGTGAAGCTACGAGCAACTAAAGAACGCTAACATTAGCATGCTAACACAACAATGCAGCTCGAGACCAGGACAAGTTTGTCTGTGGCTTGCGCTTAGTGCTTAATTATGGTTCGTTCCAATTTGATTTGAGGAGAGTGAAAGCTTCAGGATGGAGGAGGCGTGGCCAAACAGCAGTTTATTTTGGTTTCATGCTGGAGGTCAAGGTCGACATCTACTGGATCAAAAAGTTGCACATTCTACCTTTAAGTAGTCGACCAAGAAATGAATGTTGTCAGCCATGACACTGAATGACCCTTCAACTTTCAGATGTATTAAGTTACTGTTGAAATAATCCCAACTTATCCTCCTGCTTGATTCAGCAACAATCTGTTTCTCAGCTTCAGAAGTCAACGTTAGGGCTGCTGACGTAGCGACAGTGTGGCTGCTGACGTAGTGACAGAGTGGCTGCTGACGTAGCGACAGAGTGGCTGCTGACGTAGCGACAGTGTGGCTGCTGACGTAGTGACAGAGTGGCTGCTGACGTAGCGACAGAGTGGCTGCTGACGTAGTGACAGAGTGGCTGCTGACGTAGCGACAGAGTGGCTGCTGACGTAGTGACAGTGTGGCTGCTGACGTAGCGACAGAGTGGCTGCTGACGTAGCGACAGAGTGGCTGCTGACGTAGTGACAGTGTGGCTGCTGACGTAGTGACAGAGTGGCTGCTGACGTAGCGACAGAGTGGCTGCTGACGTAGCGACAGAGTGGCTGCTGACGTAGTGACAGTGTGGCTGCTGACGTAGCGACAGAGTGGCTGCTGACGTAGTGACAGTGTGGCAGGTTTGACCTGCTCCAGCTCAGGCAGCCGGCCCTCTGCGCTCAGACCGTCAGGTAAACCGTCCTACACTGAGAGGTCGAGGAAAGTCTGTAACAGAAGAGGTGCACAGTCAGAGTGTTTGACCTCTGACCTCCTCCACGTCAGTCTGCAGCTGCTCGCCCGCCGCTCTCAGCTCCTCCCTCTGCTTCAGCAGCCGACCCCGCACCTCCTGCAGCCGCTCGTTCAGCTCCAGATACTGACGACACTGCTGGAACCGGGACTCCACCTCGCTGTCTGAGGGCCGCGGCGAGTCTGAGGAGAGGACGAGAACCAGTCAGTGAACTATGAAAACTGGGAGTTAAAGTTAAAATGTAGGCAAGACAAGTAGGGGAATCTGTGTTCGTCAGAAAAGTAAGACTTGTTTGGTCACAGACTCCAGAGCTCTCTAAAGCCCGGCTCAGACTACAGGAGAAATTCTTTGTCTGCGTTGACTCACCTTGTCCAGTCTGCTCCAGGATGCTGAAGACGGGGTCATTGGGAGCGGCTCCGTTGATGTCCTCCAGGATCTGGTCCACGGTGGGGGTCAGGACGGCTGGGCAGGACCTGCCGCTTCTTATTTTGGATCCAATATTCATCCTGCTGCACACCTAGCTGCACCGCCTGCTTCTGCACACAAACATTTGTCATCAGGGGTCGAGTGGTTTGTTTAATAAGTGGATTAACTGGCTGTAAATGCATGCAACACATGCTCGGTCGTGATTTTAGATTAGAGGTTTATCTGTATTTGCACAGGTCCATTAGAACTGATGTGCATTTCTCCACCAGAGACACCTCTACAAAAAAAAGTAAAAGTATAAAAATAAAAGAGCGAGATTGAAGATAAAAAAAAATAGGTAGACAAGAAATGTAAACTGTACAAAAACTAGGGCCAGACCGATATGGGATTTTAGGGGCCGATACCGATATCAGGAATAGAAAAAAATCCGATACTGATAAATCTTTCTTAGATCTGTAGATATAGAGCTATAGATACACACATTGCATTCTGTTGATCCCTCAGTTATCAGACTCTTGTGGAAAAGATTTATAATGAAGACAAGATGGTCACTCGACTGGAAAGTAAGTGAGCATGAACAGCATCAGCGCTCAACACTCTGCAGTGGTGTTTGTTGTAATCCGTTTAGCGCCCTCTGCTGGTGAAAGAGAACTGCTAGTGTAATACAATGAAACTCACATTCTGGTGAATAATATTGGTAACACGCTGATACTGAGTCACTGGATTTGCTGATATTATTGTCTAGCAGATTAATCAGTCTGGCTTTTCAAAAAACTAAAATGACTCTGCACAATAAAATAAAAACATAACCATCAACTCATTTACAAGACTTTATTTATCCATCATATATTCACTATGAACTATTCATTCACCAAACAGACGAACACGTGAGGCCGTCCTGCACCTACACCAGACTTCTGTTAGATTACTAATTAAATAAAGATTCACCCAACTGACATTGAAGGCTAACGTCCCGTAGACAAAATATTACAATACATTTCGGAATTAGTACCCTGTCCAGTCAATTCGGCGTAAAATATATCATCTATCTTTATTAATGAAGATTAATTTCACATAACTAACTGCGGTTTGTTCTCTTCACCGACCAGCAGCTCACACTGAGGACACTAATAGCACGATGCTAACCTGATGCTAACTAGCTAAATCGTCGTTATGTTGATATGTATCGCAGAATGTGGATATATTTCTGAGCCGAATTTAAATTAAAGTCTGTTTGATTCATGAAACATCTTCAATTAATGTAAAGCGGAGTTATATCGTCGCTGAGAAGAAGTTAAAGTTGCACTTTCACAATATTTATACCGAGTTCGGTGTTCTTGCTTGAACTCGCCACAATAACTACAGTTCCTCGGTACTTACGTTTAGTCGTCTTGTTAAGATACAATATCAGTCTCGGCTCTTGTGTCAGGCTGTCTCCGGCAGCTCACACCGGGATGAAGGACGGAAAAGTACCGGACAGTGCTGTAACGGTGTGTCAAGCGGCGCCCCGGTTAATGCTACTGGATGAAAACACTGCACGGTACGTTACCTGCCACGTCGGGACGTCGGTGGAACGCACTGACGTCACTCCTCCATGGAACGTTCTTCTTCTTCTGGCGACCTGGCGGAGCATTACTGCCACCTACCGTTGTTTTTGTCATTTATTCTTCCTTCATGGTTTAGACCTGACGGTCCATCCTGAAAGGTGATTTCGTGTCGCATTCTTTGCACAGTTACCCTCATGATCACCCTCTACACCCAAACATAGCCCACCTCACACTCTGGTCCAAACAAATCCAGAGCATTCAGGAGCAGAATCTAAAGTTAGAAGGAGGACATACTGGCTGCTGCATTGTTGTCAGAGAAGCCAGCACTTCAACATAGCATGTTTCCTTAATGATCAGATAGTAAGATACCTTTATCATCTCACTCTCTACACATCTCACTGATTGGACCTTTAATATGAATTTACCTTCTTAAGGTCACTTCAGTTTAGCTTAAAACACTGCGACAAACAGGACGTCATAAAAGGAGTCAGGCAGTTTGTTGATTTAATTTATTTTCTCATCATTGTTTAATTGTCATATCAAGTTCATGATCTCTTTTTTTGTTGAAGAACAAAAACAGAAGATAAAATATAAACAGCAACATGTGTGATGAAGAGCAACAGAGACCTCCAGAGTCCGAGACGTGGAACTGAAAATGTCTGAGAGCAGAGCTGCAGATTTAAAAAAAACACGTGCACGTCTTCAAAACTGTGTCATCCCAATTTTTTCAAAAAAGAAGCTCCACATGCTGAAGAATCTGCAGACTGCTGTATGAACTGAGTGATAAACTTCAGATGCTCCACATCTTTTAAAAAACATCCCACTGATCCCCCAAAAGCATCAATACATAAATGAATAAATAAATAAAAACACGTAGAGTCTGTCTGCAGAGTTTTAAACCAAACTGTGACTTATTATTTTTTAAATTAAATCCTGTTACAGACTGGAGTATAAATATAACATCTGATATAAAAAAAAGAATCAATCTCAAAGAGGAACACCTTCACTCTCTCTGATTCGTCTCCTCACATGAAGCTCCTCCTCCTCACATTAGGCTCCTCCTCTTCCTCCGCTGCTATCTGAAGAACTTGGAGGGGAACAGACAAAAAGCAACAACAGGCAGAAAGTGTGAAGCGTTACTGAGAGCATGAATAAATACAAACTTAATTAATTAATTGTATATTTTCCTCATCTTGTCCCTTGTTCTTGATCATATCTGTGACTCCTGTCCTCTTTGTTGTATATTTATTGACTTATTGATTTATTTATTTCTGTTGTCCTTAAATCGAGCTTGTGTGTCATTACCCAAAGAAACCACACGAGGGCGCCAGTGTGCCTGCTCCATCTCTGTTTAGTCCTGATTGGTGTCGATACATGTCGGGCGCGGGGGGGGGGGGGGGGGGGGTGTCCCAGCTCTTTATGAACGGGGGTTGTTTTGTGTTTGGAGCTAACTCTGTGTTTGCTGACATGTAGAAAGATTTAATCGGGTTTAAAAGATAAAAGAAGTTGATCTGTCTGTGTGGATGCTGAATATAATTAGGAGAGACGTGTCGGGGGGGTGGGGTGGTCTCCATCTGTCTCTAAGACTAAATCTGCAGCCTGATGCTACGTGCTAATTCTCTTCTCACAACATTCACTGCAGCATGCTAACTGATAGCTAACTAGTGGGCTTACCTGGTTAACCCAGGAAAGGCTGGAACAGGAAACAGGACAGACGGGTTAGCGTGCAAAGTTCTTCGATCTGATCGGACGTTACAAACGATTTAGTGTTTATAAAAAGCTGCAGTATGAGCTCAAACCACGTTAACTAACCTCCCCATATAATCTGTCACTACTAAGACACTATGAAGAAATACAAATAAATAATGTCTCCAGTAGATGAATTAATGTCAGGCGGAGAGAAACCGCATTTTGAAGGTCAAACATAAAGAAGGTCAAACTTCAAAGTTTTATTCTAAAGACGTGAAGCAGCTGTGATGTACGTACCGGTTTCTCTTCCTCTGACTCTAACGGCGTGACTTTAGCCGACGATGTACTCGGTAAACTCTTCTGCTCGGAGACGGTCGGCGCTGACGGACTCACCAGAGCTTTATTCTTCACCAGAGTGGTCAGAACTGAAGAGAGAAGAATGATTCAGTCAGATGTTTAGAATAATCTCAGTTTGAATACAGCGGTGTAGAACTGGTCTCTGTACCCTCTCTGGTCAGGTTCTCGGCGGCGCTCATCGCCTTCCCTCCGAGGTCGTTCACTAAGTTGTCCACCATGGCCTCGTGACGAAGGAAGATGGCCGGACCACTCTGTTGTAGATGATCTGGGAGCCGTTCCACGACATCGGAGCCATGCACCACAACAGGAAGAGACACTGGAGGCGCAAGAGAGATCAGGGTTTCAGGACGAACTCATGTCCTCAGTGATCCAAGCCTCCAGTCAAATCTCTGAGGAGTTCATCTTTGAGTCTGTAGAGCGAGGACTACTCTCTCTAACAAAGGAAACGTTGTCTATATGAAGCCCACAAGAGGCGTTCAGAAGAAGGTCAGAGGTGGGTGTAACAAATCAAACATGCTGCATTAACATGAAACGCTTCAAATATATAAATGATCCAAAGTCGAAAACACACATATTCAAAAACGAGTGCATAAAGATGAATGCTGCAAATCCAGTCTTAAATGTAAAAGCTCCAGGCCTGTAGAGGGCGCTCTGTGGAACGCTGCATAATGACGGGAGAATGAAGGAGACAAGGAAGTGAAAAGTGGAATAGTCTGACAACACAGAGTGAATGCAGCAACCAGGAGATTTAAAGTCTGTTTTAGATTTTACCACCATAAGAGAAACAGCTGAGCGGGGTTCTGTCAGAGCAGCTTGAAACTAGCGCTAGCTCCAGTATAAACTGTTCCACAGAGCACCCCTAGAGGCCTGGGGCCCTTCCACTTAAAGGTCACATATCATCCTCCTCCTATTGATCATGTCTATAAACCCCTCTATTTCAGCCCTGCTCAGAACAGGCTGTTTCTGTGTCTGTACCTTTAAATATGTAAATGAGCGATGTCTGACTCCATGTCCTATTGTTTACGGTGAGAAGGCAGACTCAGAGGGCAGAACAAACACCTAGCTGTGGGAGTGTCACCCACCTGGGGGAGGGGCTACTGCCCTTTGTGATGTCATGAAGGGCACACATTTTCTGAAAAGTGGAGCAGGCAGAAGATGGAGAGGATGGACTTTTCTCATCATTGGGGGGTTTGTAGACGGACTAGAGACACATGATGAAGTGGATTTTATATAAGTGACCCTTTAAACGTCCTTTTTCTGAATTTGTGTGTTGCTGACTCTGTTTGGTTTAAGTATTTACAGTGTGTTTGATGTTAGTTCAGTTGTTTTGTCTTTCTTGCAGCAGGTCTGTTTCATTCGTTGTGTTTGTGTTGGACTCTTGGATGTGTTTTTGAATTTGCATCATTTCTGAATATTCTGCACGCAGTTCTTAACGTCAGATGTTTTGCCCCCCCGCTGCAGAGCCTTTGCACCAGGTGACCCCCGTGGTTTTCCTCACCTTGAAGGCGTAGTAGAACGGGAACCAGTAGAGGAAGATGTCTGAGAAGAACTCGCCTATGCTGAAGACGCCGTACACCACCCAGTACGTCAGCCATTTTGTGTCGTCTTCTTTACTCGTACTTTCGATGGCTTTGATTCTGCAGATAAGACAGAAAAGAATCGGTTTGTGAATGTTTCAGATTAACAGTGAAGAGAAAAACATCCCATCAGACCGAACAAACGAGCGATTTAATGGTCATGATGGCTGCAGGCTAACGCAGTGGACCAAGACACCAGATGTTAAATAATATATGACAGCAATGCATTCTGGGACTTGTAGTCGGACAGACATGTCTCTGTGAGTGAAAGACAAACACATGAAATACTCACGAGTAATAGGCTGGATAGACAAATCCAATCAGGTTGCAGAGCAGCGAGGCTCCATATCCATACACCAGGTAGAGTCCGGTCAGTGAGACGGCACCTGGACGGGACAGAGGGGGAGACGCACCTCATGTTGGAAATCAGAAACTCAAATCATACAAGAATCAGACGACTGTGTTTGATAGCTTTTAACACAAACGTTGGTTAAAATAACATTAAACAGTTTAGTTCTTTTAGTGTGTGGAGAGCAACAATATGACCCAAACAGCTCAACACATACTAACAGATTATTTCCAACACCTCCCGTCTTAAAGAGGACATATCATCCCCCTCCTCCACCTTTTCAAACAGTCCCTCCTCCACCTTTTCAAACAGTCCCTCGTCCACCTTTTCAAACAGTCCCCTCCTCCACCTTTTCAAACAGTCCTCCTCCACCTTTTCAAACAGTCCCCTCCACCTTTTCAAACAGTCCCCTCGTCCACCTTTTCAAACAGTTCCCTCCTCCACCTTTTCAAACAGTCCCTCGTCCACCTTTTCAAACAGTTCCCTCCTCCACCTTTTCAAACAGTCCCCTCCTCCACCTTTTCAAACAGTCCCTCGTCCACCTTTTCAAACAGTTCCCTCCTCCACCTTTTCAAACAGTCCCCTCTCCACCTTTTCAAACAGCCCCCCTCCACCTTTTCAAACAGTCCCCTCCTCCACCTTTTCAAACAGTCCCCTCCTCCACCTTTTCAAACAGTCCCCTCGTCCACCTTTTCAAACAGTTCCCTCCTCCACCTTTTCAAACAGTCCCTCGTCCACCTTTTCAAACAGTTCCTCCTCCACCTTTTCAAACAGTCCCCTCTCCACCTTTTCAAACAGTCCCCTCTCCACCTTTTCAAACAGTCCCTCCTCCACCTTTTCAAACAGTCCTCTCCACCTTTTCAAACAGT